AACCCAGTCTAACAAAGTCCTCAAAGTGACATCTCTGTGTGTATTTGGCAAGGGATCTTGTTGGCATAGTGGTTACGAGTTCAGCTGCTAACTAAAACGTTGGGAGTTTCAACCCACAGACTGCTCTGTGAGAACCAGATAAGGTAGTCTGCTTCTATAAAGAAGATTTGCAGCCTTGGAAATTCTGAAGGTGATTCTACTGTGTCTTAAGGGCCATGACAGATGATACATATACATACATACATATATATCTTTGTGTGTGTGTAATTTTTATTATCTGGATAAATATAAACTTTTTTTCCTACTTTGAGTCAGTGTCTCTAGAGAAAATACTTAGAAATAGATTTCTCTGACTTGGGTATGCTCGTTTTCAACTTTAATTATTATGAAATAGATTTTTAAAGTGGGGATTCCAATTTACATTCTTACCCACAGGTATGATCCAACACCTACATCTATCCATTTAAGACATTTTTTTGCAAATCAATGGGTTGGGCATGCTATCTTATTTTGATTTTATAATGCATTTCTCTGTTTACCAATGAAGTTTAGCATTTAAAATCCTATTGATAGTTCTGTGATTTTTGTGCTTGTTAGTAACATTTTAGTTAAAATATATTCTATTACTGATTTAACATTTATAATTCTATTTTCTGGGTAGCTATACTTTGTGGAATCTCATTTCATTATGCTTTGGCATCTTTTGTTCTATAGCTTTCACTTTTGACTGTCTTTCAAAATAATTTTCATTGACTAATGCAAATACACAGTATTTTTGAATAAAATATTAGAAAATTAAATCAACTAAAAATAAATAAGATACTTGGATCACTTAATTCTAACATGCCTGCCATTGTTTTAATATCTCATTGGGATGTAACTTTACAAGTATAAAGGACAATTAACAGTTTAGTGAACACATGTCCTACTCAGGGAGGGCTTTGATCTGTCCTTGCCTAAAATAAGCTCTGATCTAGATGCATGGCCATATCTGGAATATATAACAATGCTGTAGTTATCTATCTTCTTTTGAAATCTGTTTTTTACTTCAGACACTTAATTTTAGGTGTTAGTTTACAAATAGAAATAAAATTTATTGTGATAATTATGTAATGTTATATAAGAAATAAAATGAATTTTCAAAATACAAAATGCTACAATAACTTGTTAGTTACAGAAGCTAGTATATTTCTTTCTTTCAATAGAGTGAAAATTGCTGAAAAATATTCACTCCTTGTGTACCAGGATCAGATGAGCATGATGTGTTAACTGAGCTTCCTCACCTGATCTGTCCCTTCCCACCTCCTTTCTCTGGTGCTGAAACTACTTGGTCATGTCTCCTCCAGTGACAAGAGGAGGTAGATGTGGATCTCTTTAGCCAAATATGTGTCCCTAACAATGTAATGGTCAAAGAGATTGAATGCTTTGCCTGCTAATCAAACACTGTCATTTTTTGGCTTCATGGTCTTTTTCTGAACCTAGGTGGTTATCAAAACCATACTCTCCACACCCCTCCATCCATCCCCATGTTCCGAATTCTCAACATTAAATGGTCATTGCAATAGTTAGGTTTTTTGTGCCAACATGGCACCTATAAGAAGATGGGTGGAATTTAGCCTGTCAATCAGGTCACAGCTTGATGACCTCCTTTTGGAAGTA